TGTTTGGATTATATTCTTCGAGTTTGTCAAAGTCTGTGGGATTCGTTTCTCTATCTGGGAAAGCTTCATTGGTTTCTATATCTGCTGCTATCCTATTTCTACGATCCTGGCATGTTCATTTTCCGTTGGAGTTCAAATTTCGTGGAAAAAGTTGTGTTGAATGAGAGCATGTCGGCGAAAATGGCACCTCGTGTTTCCTACCTTGTATATTATTATTGTATAGAGAGTGAATTTGAACAAATTACTGCAAATTGTCACGAAACTTCGTTGGAGCAATAAGGACAACAACAATTAACTGCAGAGTAAGTTTCATTGATCTTTATTTAGTATTTCCTCGAAATTTTAGGATGGTATTTTTACCCCATACAAACACTGTAATTTTAGTGGAACCGTACTGTGGTACTATCACAGAGCCTGGGTTACCTGTGGGTGCAGCAGAGCCTTTGACCGTCTTGCCATAATCGCATATTTCTTAACATTGTCGATATCGTCATTAAGTTGAGGAACCAACGTGTTCCAAACTATTGCTCCTCTACGAGCTACAGAGTTCCTCATATAGTTGGTGTTAAAACGAGGGACATCAATTTTCAGTTTCTTCCTAAGTTGATATCGCTTGTCCGAGTAGAAAGCGCCAAAAAATGGACTAAGTGCATTATACTGGCCACGTGCAGTGTAGAAAATTTTGGGCAGATAGACTTTGCCGAAAGAATGATAAGCGTTCAAGTTTTTTTTAGAGGCGACCCTCCACTGAACGTCCCACTGAAGCAAACAACCCAGTAGCTGACCAATGTCAATTGAATCGTGATGAAATCGACGTCGCCATGTTGGGATGGCGCACAGTTTTATTAAGACTTATAACAGGTAATCAAATGCATTCATTTCTGTCTGCCAATACGATCAAACATTTAATAACAACTCTTTTTATTGCCCAATAAAGTTTATTCAGAAGCGCACATTGCAGTAAGCTGCTTTGGCTGGACTTAAAACGTGACATCACATTAGGCTTACAGAAACTTGTTGCCATACAGGGCCCTAAAACTACAGCCTTCTTGGACCTCTTAAATACAACGAGTTTCATCATTGGGATAAAATAGATGGCATTTGTTTTTTCAAGCGTTTTACTCACCTGAAGATTGGTAGACAGGAGATCGAAAGAGAACTTCGTGCTTCGATTCAAGGAACGCACATTTTGCGCGCGATGTTCTCGAAGTGTGATCTTCACAAAAGTAAGCATTCTTCGCGGCCATTTCTGCCCTGAAACCTCCCAAAACTGAAATAAAGGTATCACAGTTATAAATTATAATACAGTGGAAAGGACCGACGATAATTTCATAGGAAAGGAGATGTCGAACTTTCTTACCACAACCGCCGCCCGCCATTCATTTTCCAGATTCCGATACCACCCCCAAAAACTTGTCATATTAGATATCACGATGACGTCACTTTATTACCAGAATCCCCCAGTGCAGGAATGTCATCTGACCAGCCTGCGTGAGCCTGCGTAGCATGGCGGTTTTTGGGCGCGCAAAGTAATAAAGGCGGGTGAGGACCGAGAAACCGCGACGCAGGCTAAACTAAGACATCATGCCGTTGTTTTAATAATTGTAAAATATGCCGTTGATGATAAAACGGTAAAACGGGCCAGCCCGGCTCAACGGGGTTGCTTACTTCCTATTACAAGGCATTCAGACATTGTCTTTTGAGGGGCAACTTTTCTTTACTAACTGACACTACAGGGATAGGTCCAGCTAAAAAACGCAATATTGACAGCAGTGGCCGGGTTGTTCGGTTCCCCGGGGGGGGGGGGGGGGACCCCCATAAATAATCTATA